CCTCCCTACCCTAACCCTACCACCTACCCTTCCTCCTCCTCTCCTTCTCCTCCTCCTTTTCCTCCTGCTCCTCCTCCCCCTCCTCCTCCTCCTCCTTCTCCTCCTCCTCCTTCTCCTCCTCGCGCTCTGTCGATCGTCGCTTGTTTTTTTTGGGGGGGGGTGCGCCATGCACGGCCCGTTTGGAATGACGTCTTGACCTGTGCACATCTAGTTCAGGCTGCTTTCCGTCGAAGAAGAAGAAGAAGAAGAAGAACGCCATAAGCACAAACCTTTGGCGCTCCGCGCGGACTTCTTGGATCCGCGCTTGGGCGCCCCCCTGCGGCGCCTCCGGCGCCGCCCCTGGCGCGCTCCGCGCGCCAGGGAGGGGGACCCAGCGCAGATCCAAGAAATCCGCGCGGAGCGCCAAAAGCTTACGGTGGAGGCCCATGCCAAGAAACACCCGGCTCGCCTCCAGGGTGCCTTGGATTTCTCGGGTCTCGAGGGTTTTGCGATGGAGAGCGCGACGTTCCCACACCAAAAATCAATGCACGTCCTGTGGTCTCAGGGTTGGGTTTCTTGTGGAAGGTTTCTTGTGGGCTGGCCTCCACTGTAGTTCAGGCCGCTATCCGAGCAGCTGCTGCTCGTGCTTGTGGCCAGGGGTTGCGGGCCGGTCATAGCTGGAGGGGCCAGGTGTGCTGTCCTTGTTCGGTAGCGAAACGAAGCTCCACCTCATCCGCCGCCGCTTATTTCACCCGCGTGATCTTCTGGGAAAGATTTGGCTAACCAGGATGGGCCAGAGGGTTTGCCGTCCTGCGCGCTGCTGTGGCATGTGTGTTTTCCGTAGCATGATGTGAGTGTGTGCGTGTGCGCATGTGCGTATGCGCGTGTGTGTGTGTGTGTGTGTGCGTGTGTGCGTGTGCGTGTGCGTGTGCGTGTGCGTGCGCGTGCGCGTGCGCGTGCGCGTGCGCGTGCGCGTGCGCGTGCGCGTGCGCGTGCGCGTGCGCGTGCGCGTGCGCGTGCGCGTGCGTGCGTGCGTGCGTGCGTGTGCGTGTGCGTGTGCGTGTGCGTGTGCGTGTGCGTGTGCGTGTGCGTGTGCGTGTGCGTGTGCGTGTGCGTGTGCGTGTGCGTGTGCGTGTGCGTGTGCGTGTGCGTGTGCGTGTGCGTGTGCGTGTGCGTGTGCGTGTGCGTGTGCGTGTGCGTGTGCGTGTGCGTGTGCGTGTGCGTGTGCGTGTGCGTGTGCGTGTGCGTGTGCGTGTGCGTGTGCGTGTGCGTGTGCGTTTGCGTGTGCGTGTGCGTGTGCGTGTGCGTGTGCGTGTGCGTGTGCGTGTGCGTGTGCGTGTGCGTGTGCGTGTGTGTGTGTGTGTGGGTGTGTGTGTGTGTGCGCGCGAACTTGCGTGCGTGTGTCTGTGTGGGCGTGGGCGTGAGCGTGTGCGTGTGCGTATGTGTGTGTGTGTGTTTCCGTATAGCGTATCTTGTCCATCTCACGTTATGTTCCGTAATGCGTGCCAGGGTCAGCCGGGCAGGGTGTCGATGGGTAGCTGTTCCTGGCGCTTGACGCAGCCAAGACGTTGAGGTAAGGAACATGTCGTTTGGAAGGAGCCCATTGTTCTTTTGGCGCTGCCATGGCTGTTCCTCAAACGCTCCCTGTGCACCCAGGCGCCTGTGGGCCCAAAGAGGGCTGCGTCTTGTATCTGACACTACCTATGGTCAGGATGCAGTTCCTTGGAGGTTGAATTCCTCACGCATCGCGTATCCCAGTGCCTTGCACGTCGACCAGCTCCAGCTAGCATGCTCGCATGTTCCTGGCCCCTGGTCCCCAGACACTGCCACAGCCTGGCCGTGTTTGCAGCTGCCGCCTTGCAATGGTGGGGCGCACCTCCACGTGGATTGCTCATGAGTGGTTTAGCCTCCTTGTTCGTCCACCTGAGGTTGCCACCGTTGGCATGCGGCACAGGTACGCTGGGCTGCTTGTTCAGCCCCACGCTGTGCCGTGCTTTGCTCGGGTGGTTCGTTTACCTCTGGCGCCTGGCGCGACAAGGTACAATTCGTTTGCCTTCCCGGTGGTCTCGCCCCTGGAATAGTTGCACTTCAGCCGCCTGGCACACCTGGCACCTCTTGCAGCTCTGCCTTCAGTCCCCGGCGTCGCGCCTCGGCGTCCCTCGGCGGCAGTTTCGGCGGCCGTTAGTTCGCGCTTACGTGAGTAGGTTTGGCTCGTAGCCCGGGCTGACTTCGGACGCCGCCTGCGCTTCCGCTTGCGGCCGCGACCGGAAAAAAAAAACACCAGCCCATTCAAGAACCCTGCCCATTGGAGATGATTTCGAAAAGGGAAGAAGAGAGACACACACACACACACAGTGAAACAAGGCGGGCAACCAGGGTGGACAGGGAGATTTTTGGGAGCAGCGGGTCTGGCCTTGGAGGGCCTCTTCGGGCCAGCCATGGGGCCTGCACGGGGGCGAGTGAAGGAGGAGGAGGAGGAGGAGAAGACGACGACGACGACCACCACCACCACCACGACGAGGAAGAGGATTAAAAGGAAAAGGAAGACGATGAGGGCAGGGACGGGGACGTTGAGGTGGAGGAGGAGGACGACGAAGACAGCCCTCAAAATCGCCTCTTGGAGCCCTGTTGAAACTCTTCTGGGGGACCTCGGGGTCCTTTTGGGGCTCTAGTGGGCGGTCTTGGGGCCCTTTTGGGGCTCTGTTGGGGCCGTGTTGGGGACCCTGGAGAGCCTCTTGGGGCCATCTTCAAGGCTCTCGATGCAACGAAAAAAGGTCTTGAATGCATACCCTCCCCTCTTTGGCCTTCTTAATGACCTCTTGGGGCGCTACTGGGCCGATATTCGGCGCTCTTGGCGGTGTTTTTAGGGCCTCTTGGGCTCATTCTGGGACTGTTCTCTTGTGCCATATTGGGGACATATTTAGGCCTCGAACGCGCGTCGGAAGCGAAAAGGCGAGAAGGCAACACTCATGCATCTTCCAATGGTTATTGAAGGATGTTGGCCTCTTGGTGGGTCCTGAGGGGGACCCGAGAGCACTTGGAACCGTCTTGTGGCCCTCGTCGGGCCTCTTGGAGGTAATTATGTCGGAAGCCATCTTGTACCAGTTTCGACTATCTTGAGCCGCATTGGAGGTCATCTTGGAGTGTCGGAGACCATATTGGAGCTAGCTGGGCGCTCTAGCCCTTCAGGCCCTCCCCCGTCCAGACCCCGGGGGGAGGGAGGGGGGGGGGTAAACCTTCCCGAAGGGAAGAGACCTCTGGGAAGAGGAAACATACATCATTTCCCTGGACCACCTTAACCCAAAGGGCTGGTAAGTGCCAGCATGGGCGATGACAGATCCGTGGTCGGAAACAGGCGCGATCCGTCAGAATCTCGTGGAAGCCCGTGCTCCATCCCGGGCCCAATCCTGGCTGCTCCCGCGCATTGGCCCCGGAGTCGGTTCTCAGGGCCTCTTCGATCGCGTTCCTACGAGAAGACCTCCCGGGTGTCGTTCCCTGACTGTCTTGGGCCCATGGCGCGCTCATCGCTTGGCGCTCCCAGGGGGAAGCACGATGGCCTCTCCCTCTTCTCTTCTAGGCCCCCATACGTAGAAAGGGGTCGGAGTAGATGGGGTCGGAGGATCGTGCCGCATCGCCGACGCATCGGCGATGCATCGCCGATACATCGGCGATGCGGCGAGATCCATCTCGGCGATGCATCGACGCATCGGCGATGCGGCGATGCATCTGCCCGGACCCCATCCAGGAGGCCTTTTTTGCGGGGGGCCGCCCTGCTGCCAGGGCCCTCCCCCCCGGCCGCCCCCTGCCCCAGGCCGGCGGCCAATGGTCGGCGGCAGCCTCGCCGGGGGCGGGAGGGGCAGAAGGACGCGCCCCGCGCGGCGCGGCGCGCTTTGTACATTCATTAATATATACATATATATACACATACATACATACATACATACATACATACATACATACATACATACATACATACATGCATACAT